TTTTCATAGTTTATTCTTTCGTGGTTCAATGATTCTAAATTCTAACCTAAGAGATTTAAGTCTATATCTGAAAACTTGTTTAATAAAACCCCCTACTTAACAAGAGGGATTGAGTGGATTATAGATTTGAAAATCGAAAGACTTTAAGCGAACAAGCAAAGACATCAGCTTCGGTTTGTTGCTACACAAAATTAGCCTTGCCTGCCTTTTAAAAAATACCATTAATGTGCCATAAACAATCTTGAAGCCTCAGTGCAATCAACAGTATGAAGACACCTTTWTTTTTTAAAATATTCGTCACAATATTATTACCCGACAGGTACAATTTAACTAGAAAACACTTCCAGACCAGTCTAAGCCTGGTTTGGGATTACCCTACATATTTTGTTACGTATACCAGAGACTCTGGATTATGCCGAATAAACCATTTTAGCCTTTAAGTRGATTTTTGTTTGTCTCAAGTCATGCAGCAATCTTTTCCGGGATAGTGATATCGAGATTTTTGGCCAAAAATTGTACAAAATGTCTGAAAAAAATAATTTGTACTGAGCAATACTCGTACTGAGAACTATAGGCTTTGTCTCAGTACAAAAACTCAAGCATAATTTTGCATGGTTCTTTTGAACGAATACCGAAAATGATAACCGTTATTCGTATTCGTTAAGAGGAATCTATTTTTTTCGATTTATGTCTGTGTTGAAAAAACGTCTCTCGACTTCCATTTTTGAATTTTCAAGTTTTCTCGCGTTTTTCTTTCAAATCCCTTTCACGCTCACTCTGAAACTCYGAGCTAGCGAGCTAGCGATCTAAAGAAAAAACCTAATGACCATGGTTTTAAAAGACCGTGTAATGTTTATGCCTTAACGAAGAGGAAAATTGAATTGAATGACGGAGGTAGTTACTGTAGTACTCAAATTTGGTTTCTAAGTTGATAACGTTCCCCGCCACTGACTTATGCGTTGTCCATACCTGAGAAACCAAGATTAAGAGCCACAAGAGCAACAACAAATCCCCAATATAAAGCCATATTTTTGTTTTAGCTGCAACTTGATGTGATGGCGTATTCCTGTAGCTTCTATAGAGTCGACCTTGTCTTGGTATTCACTGAGTCGATTCTGCAAAGTTTAGGTGTGTTAGTAAACGGTTTATTATGGTTACCGTGTTAGGTTTCTATGTATACTGAGATATACACCAATTAGCGATGAATAGTCTAGCGGTTTGTCATAAGGATAACATCGCTTGATATATAGAAGATCTAGACCAGAGTGTAGCAATAACTGTTATCATATTAACAATGCTGTTATAAAGCAGTCTCGTGCTTCTCCTTACACTTCTTTCGTGTTTACACCACTTTCTGCGTGCTATATCATGACTGAATGGAAAAAAAAGAATACAGAGACTGGCATAAAGAACACAAGTGTTAGCAGAAGCAGTACGTGGTGTACATCTCAAAACTAGTTTATCGAGCAAGTTTTTTTTATTTCTTTCATAATATGCAAGTTAGAGTAGCCGTTATTTTGGAAGCGAATGACGAAATACAAAGTGTGCGTGCGTGCTGTGTGCTTCATAGAGCAGTTTTCGCATGACCGTGAAAAGCTCAGTGCCGTATGCGTGCCGTGCCGTGATGTTTTCTATAATTTTAATTGGCTGATTTTTTTCACGCGCAATGTGATTGGTTTGGCATTGCCGTGACCTTGGCGTGACCGTGTCCGCGCCGTGTTTTTTGCCGTGTTCCGGGTATTTGATTGGATGGAGAGTAAATTCTCGTCCAATGTGATTGGTCTAGCGTATCCCTTGCCGTGTCATGGCCGTGTTCGTGCCGTGAATTTTTCAGAGTCATACGAAAACTGCACTAATGTACTCGCCTCCAACTGAATCACATAGCGAGATTAATAGAATTTATTTTATAATGATAGAAAACAGTGCTCGGTTGCTGACGCCGCACCCGTGCGCACAACTTGCTTTTCAAACAACTGCACACAAATCAATGAATGAACATCAAACTAAAAAAAGAAAAAATGGATATAAGAACAGCTAT